TCTTCCCCAAGTCATCTTGGCCTTTTGACAGAAAGTGTGCTCTGAAGCAAATTCATTCATTGCCTTGTTTTTGGACCAAACTCAAAATTCTGAACTCACACCACACAGAGACCTTTTCCATGAAATCCCAGCCTGCTATTTTATCACCTTTTGTCATTCTCTATAATCAGATAACATTTGGACAGTGATTAATCAAATTAATCATTTTCTTTACTTTTATCAAAGAGAAAAGGAACTTTGTGTGATAATGCAGCAGTGAGGGAGACCATTCTAGTCAAGTATCTAAAATAAGAGGAGTGAAATTGTCCCCTGAGATAGACATTTGAGCTCAATCAAAATCAGTTAGAGGGAGGAGTAGTAAAGGATTCCACAGGATTCTGGCTGCAAATCAAGGTGCATATGTGTATGTGTGTGTGGTGTGGGATAAAGAGGCTGATTCCTTCCTGGTAGTGGTTTGGGAGAAGCCAGAATAAGAAGACAGACTCGGGAGCTCAAAAGTGCTGACATATCTGCCAGTTTAGATATGGCCTGAGGCTGTCCAGATGCAAGAAAGCCACCAAAAGCTACAGCAACTGATCATCTGCCAGACTTGGGCTCCTGCATAGTCAGTGGCAGGCAGGAGTGGTGGTATCTCCAAGAGATGTCTAATGTATGCAGTACAGTTACTTCTTCCCAGTGGCTGCACAAGAAACCAAAGTGTGAAAGCTCTACATAATAAAAGATCCAGGAGGATCCAACTTCATATGAAGTAAGAGTCATCTAAAATGCCTTACATGATAATATGAGAAGACAGCCCAAAGGTGACCATCAAGCAGTGCTCTGGTTCATTCTGTAGCACCCTTTTCCATCCCAGTAAATCTGGTCTATTAAGTGGATCTAATCAGATGCTATCAGCAAAGATTCTGGGGAAGGGCAGAGTCACTACAGGTGTTACAATAACACCAACACCACATGCTTCTTTGCATTTTTCTAGAGGTAGGCTTCAGCTTGGAGGGGATGGTGTTCAACTCAAGGCTAAATGACAACCAGTGGAGTCTGAAGTTACATGCTGATAGGAAGGTATGACAGGTAAAATAATTTGCTCCAAGAGACAGGAGGACTGGTTCGTACCCAGTGGTACCAGGTGTACCTGGGTGTAACAAGCACATGGGTGTAAGATGTTCAAGGTACAGAGATGGATGTGAAGGCACATAGCATAGAAATAGGAATGTTTGCTGTTTAAAGTGTGGTTTCTCAAAAAAGCTCAACAGACTGCAGACTGGAGCAGCACAGCATACCAGAAGAGAAGAGCAGCATGTGAGGAGCATAAGAAACAAAAGACAAAGGAGAGGGACCAGGAAGGCACTACCACGGATGCACATGCTAGTAAAGCAAAACTGAGCATAGGCACACAATGGGTAGTCTGTCACTGATGGCACAAGTGACCTCTGCTTCCATTAGACCCTGTTAATGGTTATGTGGTGGTCCTGATACCATTCTGCTCACCTCTGAGCTGCCTTCTGATTATGGCATTACCACCATTACTTAAACATTAGCCAGAGGGAGACCAGCATGGATGGGGATACAGCAATGTTGTTACAGTTATTCCAGTCTCTGCCCACCTGAGCATGACTCAGGCATACGTGCAAGAGGAGAAAACAAGTCAAAACTCCCCTCAGTGGAAGGGTAAGAACTAAAGAAGGCATGTGAAGGATGAAAAAACTAACAAAATCCAGCTCTCTGTCCAGATCCTTATTAACTCCCTTAGCAGCAAACAAGCCATCTTCTAGGCTTCAGCTGAAACCAGCTTATGCTTTGCTATGTTTTAACAATTCCAAGACAACTTCCGTCTCTTGACACAATATCAAAAAATTTGCTCTCCAAACAGCAATTGCTGTAGTAATAACAACAATACTTACATTTCATTATTTAACCTCATGCTATTCATTCATGAGGATTAGTGTTTAATTAATTAACAACACTTAGCATTTCCACTTAGCACTTTACCTCTTCAAAGCATCGTACCGACACTACCTAATTAAGGGCAGAGCTCTACAGACACTTCACATCGGGACTTCCCTTTCACAGCTCTGCATCCAAGACTTGCTCACACAGTGTAGCATGAATTCAAGTTGAAAGCCCTATTAGCTTCATCAGGAACCAGGTAATGCCATGGTTATCAAGGAACTGTATTTGCAATTTCTGTTTCTTTTCCTCTTGCTTATGGTTGCTTGCTATTCACACAGGGATCTAATTTTTGGCTAATGTGATGGATGATAATGTGAACCTTGTATTAGTGTTATCTACAAAACGCTCATTCATCCGTTAGTGAAAATCTCGTTCTCGTCACCTGGTTGAACTGCCTTTAGCTAGAAAATGTGTTAACCACAAAAACATTATAAAATGTCAAGCGAGAGTTTTTAAGGGAGATGGTGCTTTCAATCCATCAGTCAAATGCCTGCTATGAAAAGTGCCTTTCTTGTAAGCACCCCAGGATGCTACACAACATCAATAGACAATATAAACACAAAGATTTTATGGTTCACTTTACAATTGGACATTGACTCTGAACCTGTGAAACAGAAAGGAATTGAATTTCATGACCAAAGAGGATAATGTGCACAGGATTAAGTAGACATCGCTTGTAGAAGCAGGAAAGCAATACGGCTTTGGATGCTGATAGGGAGATTAAATTTACAAATAAGAAACTAAAGAAATAAACCAATTCCGACTAAAAACTTGTTAGCCAGCAGAAGCACTTAATACTTCACATCAATCCACTATTTTTTTTCAGAGCCCACTGATTGACTGAGCCTTGACTATGAGAACTGAACAAAGAGAGCCTTAAATATGTAGTAGCTGCAGCCAAGAAAATTATTCAGACAATATGGAAATAAACTTCTGATGCAGTTGAATGGGGAGAAAAAGAAAACATTCATCACAATTCAAGAACTTGTCTAGTGTCTCAGAGGATGTTTTCACAGGGCAGTGGCTGGTGGGGCAGCAGCTGGGGGCTGCTGCTGCTGCTCAAACCTGCTCGAGAAGAAAGTGAGTGATCCAAAACAGAAATGTGGCTTCCAGCTCTGAGCGGTGCTGTGGGGTGTCACGTGCACATCACAGCTCACCCAGCTCGGTCAAACAGCTCTCTCAGGAAGCCCCTCTTGCCAGATGAGCCACAGCTGGATAGATATCAGAAATTTAAATGGTTTGGTTCTTTGAAAACTGATTGTCTTGAACAAAATCAGACTCAACCATTCTGACACTGAAATATTCCACAAGGGTAACTGTGTGTTACTATCTGCAGTGTCTTTGTGCCCAAAATATGCTATGTTAGTGTTACTACTAACTTCTAAAATCCCAAAAGTATAAAATAAAAATCAGGCTTTATTATCTCTTAATGCAATTTCACTTAAGCTGCAGATGAATGAGACCCTCATTGCCATATTCAGCCTCAAGCTGACAACTAAATACCAATCCTTTTCTGTACATGTGTGATTTGAATTCAATACTTGCCTTTCATCTTCCCTGCACTCCCCACAAACTCTTCTCCCCTTACTCAGCTTCAGCTTCAACACTCCAGTATTCCCCTGTCACCACTGCCCAGGACTCCCTTGTCCCACACACCAATTAGCCTATCTAGCCCCAGTGAACCAACATCTAAGCTGTCCATCCTGCAGCCTTTTCTAACATTTACAACCTAGGAACCATCCCAGACCCATTCCAGCCTGCCCATGTCCATGCCTCTGGATTACTTTTGTATTGGTTAAGGCTGGGTCTAGTGATAAATATAGTGAATGTAGTAAAGATGTGAATTAGGTAAATCATGTATCTTTCTCACTATGAGTTTCCTGAAGTGTAATGCTCAAGACAAAACCATCAGCTGTGGTTACTGCTGATTAGGAAAAGATACCTGTAATTAGCACACACATTGGATCAGGCCATTAACAAAAGCATTAGGAAGCCACTATGGAAGCTGATTCATGTTGTAATCTAGGTAACTGCTCCTTTTTCCAGCACAAGGCTGTCACATGAGCCCTTCTGATCACTTTCATATTTACCATTTGTTGTGCATCTGCTCTAGCATCTCCAAGCCCTGATATCTTGGAGTTACACATGCTGAGATACTTCCTGACTGGTGTCAGCTTCCAGTACTGGAACTCTGCAGGGTGCAGCTCAGGATGTGAACCAAATGCAGGCATAAAACTAACTTGGTTAAGGCAAGAACCTGACATTTGGAAAGCTGTTCTCTGTGTGGTGTATAGAAAAATAAATTTAGATGACTTATATAATTAAGATTTTACATCTTACTGTCCTGTTTTACTTAGCCTGGACAATAAACAGGGTTGGTCTGTTTAGCCTGTCCCATGGAGTGTTGGGGTTTCAAAGTTTCACAGGACTGTGACATTTCTGCTGTTCTGCTGCTCCCTCTGAAAGAGGTCGCAGGCAGACGGCCATAGAGTAGTCAGCAACAGATCCCTGGTGGTCATGAATGTAAGTTCCAGCATGTACTTCCTCCCTTCTTCCAGTGTCTGATGTCATTGGGATATTTTATACCTTTTGGCTATCACAGCCTCCTCCAGCAGTGAATTTCACAAGTGATATTGATTGCACTAAGTTGCACGTGCACTTCCCCTGTTGCTTCATCAGAGGAAAGTGTTCCTGCTTGTGCACCACCATGGTGCATAGTATTAGCCTTGCAATTTAGCCTGCACTGGGAGTGCTGAATGGATTGTTTGATGGCTGGGAGTACCAGATATCTTCATCTCCCTGCCTTGTGAAACTGCACAGCACTAGGGTTAATACCGAAATGAAAGCCTGCTAAAGGACAAGGCATGCTCCAGGGCAAATATGATTGAGGGTTACACTAGCTATATATTTTACTTACAATTCTACCACTATGCTCATTCTAACCTCAGCCTTTCAATTAATTGGCTCTTAGGACTTGATAGGATTAAAATATTTCTAACAACAGCATTTTCACAAGCAGCATTACTTGTACCAGCCCAGCTTTGACTTCTTACCTTTGTGGTCCACAATTTCACTGTCCAGTCAAATGATGATGTGACAAAGAGATGGGAAAAGTCTATTGGACCCACTGCCATGTGACAATTGATTCCTGTGACAGGTCCTTGGTGGCCTTCAAAAATTTCACCAATGCCAGCTTTACTACAGGAAGAAGAAAGATTTACATGCAGAGAGTGATTTACTACCTAGTGATTTAATATAAGTTTTCTTTACTGTTAGGTTCCTGTTTCCTTTTAAAGTTCTACTTGACCTGCAAGTCTCTCTCCTTCTTCTAAGGCCTTTGCCTGCAGAGGTTTACTCCAGTGGGCAAAATTAATGCTCAGAATCCAAGCACAGGGAGAATTTATCTTACTTCTGAAATACTTACCTTACTCACTTCTATATACACTGTCTACTCCTGTAGATTGAAATAACATTTCTGTATAATTATAAAATAATTCTAAATTGTAATTATACTATAGCTTATGCCTCTGAGTATGCCATTATCACAAGGAATAACCATTAAATAAGAATGCAGATATGTTAATGACTTATCATGGGCCATTCTTTTTCTCTTAAATATCTAAGATAACTTTTCATAGCAGTCAATCAAGTCACTAGGAAGTAAATGCTTTTTCACAAAAAGTGAAGGAACTGATCCTGTGATCAGGTATCATACAGTCATTAATTTGAACAAGGGGAGATGTGCATTTAATCAGCCAGAGGCTAAAATAGCTGTTAGGAAGGAAAAGTACAATGCTGTGTAAGAGAGAATGTTCACACCTTTCTTCTTCCTGGAAGCAAATGATGCCAGATCAGTTGTCAGTGCTGTCTCACAGTGTACACAGACAAGGGAATCATGAAATTACCCTTTTAGCTAGATTGTAGAAAAATTGCAAGTGGAAGAATATACATTAAAAATAGCCACAGCTCTGATGAGCCTGTCAGCCCTGTGCCAGTGTGAGTACAGTGTACTGAAATGGGATATGGAGCTGTGCCAGAGGAAACTGGTCCCTCATCCAGCTGGTGCAGCGTCCCCTCACCTCTCCTGTGTGGACAGTGTGGCCTCACTTAGGTTCCCCTGCCAGACCCCGCAGCATGTGCTGGAGCAGTGCTGGATACAAGGACACCTCTCATTTCATCCTGGCTATCTGCCAAGTAGTCAGTGGGGTAAGGGGAGTTCTGGAGCAATGAGACTATTCTGTTTATCTGCTGTGCTTTGACACACCTTTTCCCAGAATAACGTATGGCCCTTCACAGTGCCGGGCTGAGGGACACAGGAGCCTCTGGAAATAAACCAGGGATGATAGCAAAAAGCTCCAGGAAAGACAGGCAGGAGCAGAAGGGCTTTTGTCAATGGACAGTAGAAAAGAAGATCTAAAAAATGATCTAAAAGATGCTAAAAAGAAGATCTGGCACCTTGCCCTTGTGAGGAACAAACCAGGCAAGTCTGGAAGTTCAGAAGTGAGAAATGCCCTTGGGCATGCTCCATTCATCTTAGCAGCCTAAGACTCATTCAAACCATGGGCTGCCACACAGCCTATCAGCCAGTATATGCCTAAATAGACACAATTTTGGAATACTGACAGTGGTCAGGCTAAAATAAAAATATTGTAAAATAAAAACACTGAACAAAACATATGCAAATCAGTATTTATAAAACATTGGGGATGTGAAATGGAAGCGTTACAATCTTAAACCACTGTATCAATGTCTTTTTTGGTCAACATAAACTCAGAATATGATAAAATATGGATTCAGAGAACATTGCATACTACTGGTGGGGATGAGCTCCAATTCTGTCAGTGGAAAAAGTTTGTTCTTTACAAAAACCTTTCAAGTTTCCCAGAGATTAAACTACTGCTGGAAGCTAACAGAGCACACTAGCATCTTGCAGGTTTGCAGGGTGCAGAACAAGGAACTTGCAGTAATAGATTACAGCCTGGGTTATATTATGCATGACCACTGTGTATGAGAGAGAACAGGATTCTCTAGAACCCATGTGGCACACTGTGGCTGCATCCATGTTATTAAAGGAACCAGGCCTGTGGTGGCTTTTCTCTGATTTATCCCTGTAGAGACTCATCTCATATCTCATCTCATCACATCTCTGACAAAGAGGCATTTCTGAGGGTCCAGCCATCTTCTCTTCAGGCACATGACTGAAAAAGGTGAAGGAAGTGAACCTAAGGGTAATCATTGCTCCCCACTAACTACACAGGGAGCCTGGGATAATTGCCCCAGTACAACAGGCTGTAGCAAAGATGCTCAAAGTCAGGCATCTCCTGTACTGGTCACAGGAACATTGTTGATCCAAGAGAAAAAAACACAACACTCTCCAAACACACACTTTGCTCTCTCTCATCAACACAGGTACACAATGTTTTATAAGTAAAAAATGCTGAACTTCACCTTCCATGACGACAGGCTGTGTAGACTGTCCCCTCTTCACTGCCCACAACGAAGTTATTGACATCTCCGGTTGGGAAAGCCATTCCTGTGACCGCCACTGGCTTGGACTTATTGTATACCAGCTCCATGCTCTCCTACCAAAACAGGTTTTTGTTATTATGCTGGGATCTCCTTTTGTTAGTCTGGGTTGGGTTTTTTTAATAACTGATTTCTAAATATTACATGGGGTAGCAGGAGAGGAATATGAAATAATTTGACCCAGTCACAGAACTTTAGTTTCTGCATAAGATTTAAGAAGATGCAATGGCACAAACCAGGATGCTCCTGCCATCCCCAGTACTGTCTGTCACACGAATGAGACTGGCAGGAAGGCAATGGTCTTTTCTGCATCATCTTAAATCACCCAGAGATGACAGGTGAGAATTTAAAATCTAATGGGGCAGAAACTAAAGATAATACCTTAATGGTTACATTTGCCAGCCTCAGGCTTTAATAAATCATGCAATACCCTTCTATTTACATTCTGGAAATCAGTTGTCAGGAAGCACATGTAACATTGTGTGCATGTGAGGCATTTATTGCACTGTGTCATTTGTCCCTTTGCAGAACAAAATTTAAAAGTACAGGTCTGGTCACTACCACCATTCTAAGCTTTGCTTTCCAGGGATTTTTCTGAGGTAGCTATAAACACTCCCTCTAGACTCCACCATCAAGCTACAAACCAGCAGGAGAATTTTCTGTTTTCATTTGGTAGCTATATTTTAAAGTAAATCAGCATGATGATTTTTGCAATTGCAAATACAATCACCATGCAAGTTTGTGGCTGTTGCAAGATGTGTATGCTTTGAGCAGATTTTGCACAACTTTTTAGTTTTTCAGCCTAAATGGTGTAACCCAAGAATCCACAAAAGGCCTGAATGATTTCACCATTTTCATTTTTAGCTATTTAAGTGTTTATGTTCTCTATGTTTAAAAAGTCTGTGCTGCTGTTCTTCTAGGGCCAAAGCCTGTAGGGTTTTTCTCAAAAGGGCTTTTTTGCTGTAAAGAAAGTGGGTATCCCTGTGAGAGAAGAATGGTGCAAATCCATGAAGAAATGCTTGGTTTATACTTTTCCTTGAAAATAAATGATTTCTATTGTAAAGGCAAAATAAGGCATGGAAAATACACTGGGATACCACTCCATATTTCTGTAAACATATGAGAGAGAGAGAGAGGGAGAGAGAGAGAAATTCTGTTAATATGGGAAAGAGACCATATATTTTTGTTAAAATCTTCTGGGGTGAGATCATCACTTAGTGTCTCTGCAGAGGAATGACCATAGGCTGTGGTGGACTCTCTGCTCCCAGTGCCCACACCATGACTGTACACAAGTGCTCTGGAGCTGTGTCTTCGGAAAGATTCAGACTGACACACATCAGCAACACTTTACTCCTCCCAGTTTAAAGCTATGGCATGCAGCTTGACGTCAAGCCCTGTGCCTTTCTTTTCTAGATCACCATGAGCCATGTGCCAAACTTCAGTGTAATGTGGGGCGTGTTCCCATCCTTGATGAGAGCCAGTTTTGGAGCAGGGAAATTCCATTTGAGTGAGAAGGTACTGGAACTCAGATGCTCACAGATCTGTGCTTCAGACTTTAGTATTCCACTAAGTGAGAATGCAGGGGTGGGATTTGTCTCCTTGATATTTAGGTGAGAAACTGTGGAAGGAATTAGGGTGCTTGAACACAGGTGCCAGGGCCATTTTAGAGGCCTCAATTTCTACTGCAAAAGAGATTCTTACAGTCCCAGGGCACAACTACCAGCCCCACACTGTTGCCTGACATGAGCAATGTGGTTGGAACTTTGAAGCTGGCCTCGCTTTGAGTAGAGGGGTAGAGTGATGACTTCCAGAGTCCTCTTCCACCCTAAGACAGGATAGTTCCATGTCCAAGGGTGGGTATCTGAATTAGCTTTTCACACTTGGATGGGATGAGTCATCCTCCAGAAGTACCAGCCTCTCTCTACCTCAACTGTACAGAAAATTCGAATTTCTAACTCAGACTTGACACATCAACTTTTAGATGGTTGAGGTTAGGATAGAGGAGTCCCACCTCTTGTGTCAACACTGGAAAGCAAATAATTCAATAGTAATTGCACATTAGTGCATGATTAATGGAATCATTATCGGGAGTTTCTATGAAGCATTTTGAAACAAGATCAGATCCCATGATGCTTAGTAAAAATGATATTAATTTTTTTTGTAAGAAATTGTGTATAAAAATGAGTGATGTGTTGGAATAGAAAATGTACTTCTTCAGAAGATAACACTTAAAAGATGCTTTCTATACACCTTTTTCAGCACTGGATTCTTTGTTTAGTTTCCATTATTATAATCACAAGTGGTTTGGGCAATTTTCCTGTGTTTCTTTTCATTTCTGATACAAAGGAAAGGAGGGGAGGGGGAACAGACAATAGTAGCAAACATTCCAGAGGGGGAGAATTAGTTCTAAAACTTCTGATTTGCATTGTTTGTTCCTTTGGCTACTGAAGGCAGCAAAGTAAGTTTCCGAGTTTCTGACTGTGTGCCTTGGAAACCTGCAGTGCCTAGGGTGTGTTCAGCAGCAGTGCAATCTAGTCCATATTTGTTAAACAATGCTGTAGAATAAGTGCAATTTATACCACAGGCGACTTCTGTAATTACCGTGCTTTAAAATGGGCTATTTCGTTTTCACTTGAAACTGACCTATGTATTAACGTATTACAATAATTACACGATTTGTGGTAAAGGAAATGGGGTTTGGCTCTTAGCAGAGACTGCTGGAAGCAAGCTGTACTCTTTCAAGTGCATTCACTGGTTTTAGTTTGTATAGGATGCGAGATTTTGGCTTTTAGGAGCTATATTCCTCTACTCAGGTATCCTGCTCTACCAAAGACACTTTTCCCCCCTGTGTAGATGAAAACAAACCCACCTGTGGAGTTGAGAGCATGTCCAGGCTCCAGGAGCACATTTTGCCATCCGTAGAGACAGTAATAAGATTGTGTGCATTCTGTGTTCCAACTACATTCACACAATACACAGGATGCTGAAAACACAGAACATGGCAAGTCAGAGAGTCATTCTTACATTTTGACAAACAAATTTTTAATGTCTCATATGTTATTTTAAAGAATGATTAAGTAGTCACACAATGCCTGGAAAATATAAGACTCAACTTTTGCCAGATAGGAATTGTTTTGGTTGAGTTTTTGTGTTTCTTTTTCATTTAAATTTTAAGAAGTACATTATGGAGGTGGAAATGTTTTCAAAGTTTCATTTTCCTCATAATAAAACAGCCCAGCTGAGTAATGCTGTGAAAATACCGAATTATGTGGATGAGATTTCACCCACAGGGACATGTATCATTCTACTGATGGCTTTTGACACTGAAAATAACCAGCAGAAAGAGGAAAACTGTCCAAACGGAATCAAAATGAAAACGTTATTCAAGAAAACAGCTGCACAAAACTTGAACTCAGCCAGAATTTGGCTTGCATGCTAAATATTTGCAAATGTACTCCAGTTGAAGAACATGAACAAACCCATCAACATTCTTCAGCATTGGCCAATACACCTTTTAGAATCTGTCATTGTAAGTGGGGAGTGACTGAATTTAGGGTGTTACACCTGGTTCACCATAGTGCAGTCATTCCATGGAGGCTGAATTCCAGTTAGTATGCATAATGAAACTTGGCCTATTCCTTTTCCAAGGAACCTGGTAACATTTTGAGCCTAAAGTGTCATCTGATATCTGATGGTGACATATGAGGGATGGGTCAAGTTCAGCAATCTCCAGAGTGAAAAATCAGTCAGACAGAGCAATAAGATTTAATTTCCTTTGACCAGTACAAGTGGTACTGCTAAATTAAAGGTTAGACATATAAAAGAGTCAAGCAAAGAAAACTTAATCTCTCTGCTGCGTTTACCAATAAATAGAATACCTGCATCTCCAGAAAGAAAAAAACATTTTTCTCTAATTGCCTAATTAAAGAAAATTAGGACCAACTTACAAGAGACCCATATGGAGCTTCTAAGCCAACTCCATGTTGTGTTAGGAATGTAGCATTTGGTCCTGCTGAAAGGAATGGCAGAACTGCCACTTATGTCAAGATCCAGCTGCAGGTCACCTACCCAGTCAGTGGGGAATGTCAGAAATCCTCAGAGCTCTGGCTCACTCTCACATTTGATAGCTGAGTGGGCCCACTAAATGTCCCCTCTCCAGGAGCAAAAGGTGCAGCACCTGTACAAACAGTCTTTGTGCCCACACTGAGATGGACTAAGCAGCTGCTGCTGAAATAGTAACTTGTGCTTGGAGGAAACCTGTACACACCAGCAAGTCACCAGGTCCATTTGATGCCAATTTTTTTTTCTTTCTCTCAAGATTGTCAGGCACCTGGTTTCTCCCAGATCATCAGATGGACCCCAATTTGTCCCTCACATGTGTCTCACACTATTACCCTCATATCATGGACCTTCTTGCTGCTTAGTTAGTGCAAGCTAATGGCCCCAGTGCTAAACATGATTACTACATACTGGTGTGTGAAATAAGCACAGACCTCTTTTTTTTCATAAGCTTTTCACCTCCAGTAGTCCAAACAGAGTGGGTGGGAGGAAACTACAGCAAGCAGTGGAATATCTAGAATATTTAGTGGAGGGGAAAGAGTCAGCCATGTCTTCCCAGCAGCACCTCAGTGTGTCAGGCCTGGCTTTAATCAGGGCTACCAGCCATCAATTTCACGCACAATAAAACTCATGGCAGAAATGAAAAGATGTAAGGAAAGCAGACAAAAAAGACAACCAACTGTATGTATCAGAAAGTCTAAACAGGCTCCTTCCTTTCAAAGGGTTGCTGCCAGCTTGCTTTTATTTATCTTGGAAATGAAATCATCATGCAAAAAGGTTTTGTCTTAATTAAAATTTCCTGTTGTCCCAAGTGCAGATGTGTGGTGGGTGTGAAAGGAAATTAGTGAGTAAGCTGTGGGTAGACTTCTCTTTCCTGGTGAATCCAGGCAGTAATCAGTGATACTAAATTTCAGGAAGGTTTAAGTCAGGGAAAACAACACAATCTATCTGTTTCAAATAAACAAAGCAAGAGAAAGAAAAGAGAAAAATCCTTTTTCCACATACAGCATGAGTTCAAACTAAAAAAAGACTATTCAGCTCACGTATCTAGCAGTACAAAAAGTAACATCACTAACACAGTGCTGTCTTAATTTATTTTTTTTTTCTTGTCAGCAGGGATTCAAGCCAGCCTTTTGCAACCAAGACCTCATTTACAATTTATGTAAGTAATTCCTATGTATGAATATAAAGTAAGCAACTTATTGTAAAATCTGAGCACTCCTTAAAACATCATGCTTCCTCATGTTAGACTATGTAAACACTTATTTATCACAATCCATGACAGCACATAAAGTGCCCATCCACAACTGAAAGTAATTTATTTATATTTTTCAAAAGCAAAACATTACATATTGTTCTATTGAAATAGCAAAACTGCTTTAATATATAATTCCAGGAGGTACAATTTTGCCTTAAATGATTTTTGAGTGTAAACAAATTACTTCCCATTAATCTTTGCTTTTCCACTAGATTTTGAGTCCCAGTTGTTCAATTTTCAGTGACAGTCAGCTTCTTGCCACTAGTTTTCTGGTCTGCTACATCTCTAAATTGCACTTCCAGGAGAGACTGTTTCTTTTCATGCAGATTGAACAATATTACTGGCAACAAAATGAGCAAAAACATTAGGGAAATGAAAAGCAATGTTGAAGTTGCAACCCATGGCACAGATCATTAGATAATTACATCAACATTCATGATAGTGGAAATTTAGGGAACAATATTTGTATTGCCTGGCCCACTAAGCATGTCTGTGCACACCTGTAATTTTTAATATAAGAGAATTGCAATCATAATACTGGCCCCATACTGAATCTTCAGCAGTAATTCACATGGCATGGCTTCTGGAGTTGTCTTTTAACTCCAGGGATTATGTTGTCACAGTCATCTGAAAGCTGAACCTTGATCTGTAAATTCCAAACATTAGAATCACAGAATTGTAAAAGCTGGAGCTGCGAAAGTACTATCACTTTGTCTGATCCTTCATTCTGCTAGAACAAGATTATTATCGTATCTCTCAGAGTGCTTAGTCGAGTTCAGTTCCTTATGCTAAAGAAAACTTGCTTTTTTCTGCACTCTTATATCATACTTTTGCATTTTTCTCCTTTCTACTTTCCATTCAGGAATTGCCCTAAGCCCATTTCCAGGATGAGCAGCTCCACCTTCCATCTCTCCTGAAGAGCTCACCCAAACCCAGACTGTGGAGGAGGAGAGCCGAAGAATGCACAAGATATTTGTGCAGGATGGACTGGATGCTAGTGCCACAGTGGAGTAAGGACACTTTAGCAGGGAACCCAGGCTTGTCCTTTCCTCCAGCACAACATGAGCACTTTGTGATGTAAGGGACTCTCCTATCACAGACATCATCCTTGTATTACAGACAAAATCTCTTCTTTCTCAGGCATTTTGTGTTACTCTTCCGCTCATTTATCTTCCAGACATCACTAGAGCCCTCTGCCACCATCACTAATTACCTCCAAGCATCTGTGTGTGCCAGCAAAATGCTCTCCTGCATCATTCTACTGAAACAATCTCTCCCTCAGTGTGCAGACTCTGCCCTGTGGCCCTGTCTGGAGCAGAACACCATGGCAGGGATTCACTTCTTTCCAAGGGCACCAGTGTCAACTTATAGGAGTCCACTCTGAGACCTCCACAGGTGCCAAAGGAGAAATTTGTGTACACCAGGACAACAGTAATGACTCAAATTGCCTGCCATGTCGGACTGAGAAGCATACAGCCCCCACAGTGGTCTGTCTCTCTTTACAGACGATGGGGACAAGAATTGCAGTGCCACTGTGTTGGCACATAGGTGCCTCACTCAGGTGTTATACTCAATCCTGCTTTCTTCCTTGGAAGGGAGAATAATATCCTGACTTGACTGTAGAATGTGTGATGATTAAGCACTTACAAGAGGTGATTGTTCATGTCTCATATCTACTTTTTTCCTTTCAAGTACCACGGTTTTATTTTCATCGGTGTGGGAACTAGCACTGTAGACACAACTAGGCAGCTGCCTTTCCCTGATGACCACCTCCTCTAAGGAAAGGAGGAGGTGACTTTTATCCTTACCGTGTGAGCAGCAGCAGATAAGGGAGTTCTCTGAACTGGAGTGCGCCTGTGACTGCGATTATCCCACAAGACAATTTGGCCAGAGTACGTTCCACCGACGACCAGGTTTGGGTGAAAGCGGGCAAAACAGACTGACATCACGGAGGACTGGAGGAAAAGAGGTAGAGAAGAGAGGGGTTACAGTGGTCAGCCATCTTCATTTCTCTCCCTAGGGAAGCACACCGTAATTAGCACTTTGTATTTTAGGAATCACCCTTTGAATTCTATTCATACTTCTTGCACACCAGTAATTCTACTAAAGCCAACAGGACACATTCAAAGAAATAATTTTGACCCGAAAAATGTGTCGTTCCCCATTGGTCCTGGGGAAAATACAGGATGAGTCTGAGCATGATGCTAAAAACCTGAGATAACCTCTCCATGACAGTGATGGTAAAGTGCTTAATTACATTTCCAGAAGTGAGAACTTCAGCTAACCAGATGCCAGCCAAACAGAGAATTGCATCCTGGCCCATGATATCCCATCAGGGAGAGCTCTTTCCCTGTTTTTCCTCTAACTTTTAACTCAGGCAGCTTGAGGCAAGTCTGTGAAAGACCCTCTGAAGTTCACCTCAAGGTGTGCTCTCTTGAGAGCATCAGCTGACAAGCTGTGTCTCATTGCTGAATCAATGACTGATTTCTCTGCTACCAAGGTCTTCTAAGAACAAAGGGAACCACACTTTACACTGCTTAAGCAGAACTGAGTTCTTCCTCATCCTAATGACAGCTGAGTTATCTTTGGGTATTTTCTTTAGCTGGGGATGCTCAGGAGCCCGACTGGTGTGATGGGTACCCTGGCTACCTGGTAGAGTGACCCACAAGCCAGTATGGAGACTGTGATCTATCCCAGCTACCACTTTTCAATGTCTTTAACATGACATGCAACAGCTGAAGTCCTCAAGGGAACAGTCCCAAGACCTTCATGTGCCAACAAGCCACAGCCAAGAGCAAGAAGCAGTAACTCCTTCAAGTCTTCAATGCTCTTCTAAAATAATTATTTCCCATTTTTATATAATTGGTCCTGCATGTTATGCCTTTGTTTTATGTAAATATTTTTTTATATTTTAATGACTGGATATTTTGAAGTGTTGGTATTCCTATCTGGGAACACACTTTACTCAATGACAAAGGGTTAACTAAATTACCATATTTCATTTCCATACAAAGCATGGCAGACATTTAAGTAAATTTTGTTGAATTAGGAACACTGGAGCTGCCAAGCTGAGCTAGACCCAATGTCTACCTAGCTAATGGCCCTGTCTCTGGGAGAAGTGGATGGGGTTGTAAAACCCTTGACATGGGCAGATGTGTTGCCTCCTTTTCTTACTACCCCTCATGATGATTTCTAGTGGCTAGAGACTGATTTGAACTCATGAGAGTCTTGAAACCCCTTCTGATAGGGCTAGAATTAATGATCCTAACTCTTGATGCCTATAACTAGATTAGTAAGAATAAAGCAAAATGGGAAGTTTAAACAGTTTTTATTGAATTCATGTGGCTGCCTGATATCAATTGTTTAAAGGTAGATTATATGCTAAGTGAACTTAATAGACATACTTACAGCATACAGCAGTATATTTATTACTGGGGTTTTTTTTTGACCTAATGAGATAATCAAGACAATGAAAAAAGCTGCCATTACTTTTTTTCTTCCCCACTCTCTCTGGATCCTCCTGGCTGTTCACTTGACATCTCTCTACTTTCCCCTCTCGACTAACACTTCTGCATACATTTCTCTGATGTTATATAGTCTTGCACCCAAGGACTAGATGATTAGTGTACATAAATGCCTATTTTAGTCCATATCTAAGTACTTGAGCACAGCAATTCCATTATGGTCAGTCATAGTAATGAGAGGTAGCTTCCAAACAGCATTTCCAAAGGACCTAGATGTACAGAAAATAAACTCCACCCCTAAGGAGCAGGAGTTACTATTAAACAGGAGGTACTACTAAAAGGGGTTTAAAACTCAGCTACACTGCAGCTGCCATCCAGTTTCCACAGATCTCCCCCCCCACATTATAATTAAACCGACCCTACAGCACATGTTCTACATTTTATCTCTTTGTTTAATGGCTCCGTGAGTTGTTTTAATCAACCCCTCTCATTCCTTATAACTAAGCTGACAGATATTCTTACATGAAGTGAAATAGCTAGATGATTTTAAAATAGTACAGCTCCACCACTGTGTACACCCCACAGCAGCTACAAGGCTCCACATGTATTTTAAGAAACCCCAATTCAAACAGTCATTCCACAACAAAGTTCCCAAGTTTGTCCCAAACAAACTTGGGAGACTGAAGCAGGGCAAAGAAGCCAAGTGGACAGTGTATTTTTAAAAGTTCTGCTTTCATGGTTAGCATGTTTTTGCATTTAGGATGCCAGAATACAGTTGAATGGTCAGGATATAAACTGCCAAAGTGTGTTTTTCATAAAGTTCAAAAATAACCTACAGACATGACATGGGCTTGAGCTCTCTGCACTGCTCCTAGTCTTCAAAAGGTGAAATGTTCACATCCTTTTAATTATGTCAGCATTATTTTTCTATCCAATAAAAAATTCTGTCAAATATTAGAATTTAACAGTTTAAGGACTCCATTCCATAGCACTTAATATAGTGATTATTTTCTTAAAATTAATGGCAGTACACAGATGAGTAAGGGCTGTAAGATCAAGCCCATTCATTTAAAAACTTGAAAAGTATTAATTTCTTAGTCTTAATGGGAGAGAGTGGCTGACAGGTCTCCAGTCTGTCTGAACAGCTCTGTGCTCAAGGACAGCAGCAGAAACCATTCCCTGTAAGCCTCTTCTGCCCCCAGGCTGCCTCTTGTTTGCCTGTTCAAGTATTCTCGCTCCTCTGAAACAGCTTTGTCACTGACTTCAAAGGGGGAGGAACCAGCCCATGGTCAGGTTTTTAAAATAACAGCATATCCTTGGTTGCACTTCTACCACACCCTTCCAGGGAAATCTCACGGCACTTTCCAACAGCAACGGTAAAGCTTCCCAGTTTTTCAGTTAGGGATATTTTATGCTGTAGGTGCATAGTTACCTGTAGCAGAGGACAGAAGCAGCTAGTTTCACAGAATATGGCAACAGCGCATAAATAAATGTAGGAGGAATCATGTCAGAAGGCAATTACACAGAGTTTAGTGTCCACAGTGGAAAAGCAGCTAGGCTAGGAGATTCCCAGCATTATCTTTCTATGGGTGCCACAAAGCATCTGTCTGAGCAACTGTTGGGACCCACAAGAGACAGGCAAAAGCGCAGTGTCTGGTCATCGGCATTTCTCTGAATTGCACTGTGCAGTGAATCATTTCAGTATTTACTTCAGCTAAATGCTCAGGTGCTTTCTCCCTCTATGCAAATACAGCCTACTGGATTTTGCTTAGCTTTCCTTAGCTTTCTCAGCGGCCTTACGAAAATATTTCTGGTGCTTCTGGCTTTGTGATCTTCCACCCAGATGTTGCACTCTTAGCGGGGCCACAATACTGATGCTGCTGCCTCATGCCATGCATGCTCTGCCTCCCTGCGGAGGCAAACAGGTATCTCCAAGGGCCAGAGGAGAAAACCTGAGTTAGTTCCATGTGGGAACACTGCCCAAGCATAAGAGAGAGCTCAAACCCTGGGGATTTTGCCTGGCAAACTGGCAATCCTGGTTCTCAAATGCTACAGCTTCTGCTCTCAGCTGCTGCAAGAACTGCACTGAAAAGATAATTAAGAAACAAAACATAAGATGTCCGTGCTTTTGTTGCAGCAAAGAGAGGGCTGGGCCTCACAAACAGAAGTGTTGCTGAGCCTTTGGAGAGGTCTGCAGTTAAGGGGAGGAAGCAGCACCCTTTGCCCCCTGCCTTGGTCGGGGGGCCAGGTCACCTCAGCCCGTGGGGAGGAGCACTGTGGAGCCACCTCTGCCTCCCTGTTCCTTCCCTCCCTCCCTC